AATGTAGTGTAGTGCAGTGTAATGCACTAGCGGTAGGAGTGACTATCGCCACAGCAATATAATATTACACGTCATCTCCTATAGCATACGAGTACGAGCAACGAGTTACAGGCTAGATACGATGAGGGATCAAGAACGAACATGGCATCTATCCAAACAATGGAAAACTGTCAGCAGACACGACAGCCTGTCCGTTGGTCCATCTTCCATCTGTCCTTCGATCCCCCCCCAACCCTCAATTAGTCGACCAGACGGACAACGCTGTAGAGATCAACTCCCCGCGAGAAAGGAGTCCCTAAAATCCAGAAGAGAAAAAGAAGAACGAGGGAAGGGGGAAGGTGGTCACAATCCACAGAAAAACAGGCTTCATTGTCATGGAAGACACGACGAGAGACAGACAGAGAGAGTGCAGCCGCGGCGTCCATGACGACAAGCATTTGAATCCAACTGTCCGACCTTGTCGTGGTCGTTTACCTTTTGATTTTTTTCCCTCTTGGCATTTCAGGGCAGAATACGACATTGGGTCAGGCGTTCTTGGTCTGGGCGATGGCAGCTGTGAAAGTGAGCACCATATCAGCACCAAACAAGAAGATGGTCGGTGACACGCCACGGTGTGTGTCCTACCCAAGAACCGAATGGACCCAAGTCGCTCTCAAAAATATCTGATATCGTGGGTAGCCAGGGATTCAAGACGTACGAGGTATTCCAGTGCATATCCCGAGGAGAGAGAGCGAGATGCCCGTGTACCGGAATGAGTACCGAGTATACCTTTCGATTCACATAGCCCAATGGGACCACACGTGCCTCGGTGCTGTCGGGTGGGAGGAAGAAGAGATGACAAGACCCAAAGCCCTTTTGACATGTGAAAATGACCATCGGAGGCAGCTCCTGGTTGATCCCACTCCGATCAAGCCTGGCACCAAGCTTCCTCAAGGCCCAGAAAATCCTTCGCGCATACTCCATCTCAAGAATGAAGGCAGGAACATGATATCCCGGTAGCAGCAGGATGATTAGAATGGGGAGGATCGTTGGAGGAGGGGTTGACCAACTCGACTGGCCGTGAGGTACGTGGGTACATTGGAGCGAGGAGGCGCCGGGGAATTGGCGGACAGTTTTCATACCCCTGTCTAGACAATGGGGTCTCTGTACTCTGTGCGAATGTGGCTGACCTCTCGAGATGTTGTGTCGGCTTTCCTCCTCACAGATCGAAGCAGCCCGCTACTTACACAGGCATAGTAATAGTCGCCCCTGTCAATATTATGCAATGGATGTGTTGCTGCTCCTGACTGCCGACGGAAGAACACCATCGCTTATTCGGTTGATGGTCGCTGCTAGTATGCCTGATCATCGTGTCCTACCGGGAATCCTGACAGCCTATCCACGTCGGCTAGACTGGTCCCTGTCATCGAGTCAGTCCTTAGTCAGGGCTGGCTGGTAGTGACTGGGTTCGACACAGGGTGGAAGCGACTTTCTGTGGTGTCCTATGTCCACATATCATCTATTGATCGATAGCCCTCGTTAGTATAAAGTTCCAGGCGTGTCCTTGTCGAAACGACCACAAACAAACTGTAAGCGGCCCTAATCCTCCGGCAATCATGGGTGTCGGTAACTGTTTGATGGTGTAATGATCTGTCGTACAGGTACAAGGCCTATTCCGAGAGAGCATGGTCCATCTCCAAAGACCTAATCGAGGTATGATCTGCACCACCAGGACAGCGTGCGGCCGCGGGGGGTTTCTGAACCCTTGGCGAACGTGGGATATTCGCTAAAATATTGCCCTGATTTGTGGATCGGCCTTCAAAGTTGTCATTCCTTCTGGCGACGTCCTGCTACTCGTTCCGGTTTCTCGAGCTGTGTGCTGTGTGACGACTGGAGCAATGCTGGATCGCCGGCGACCAAGGTGTCTCAATTAGAAGTCATGTCTGGTCGCTTTTTCCTTCGGGATCGTCTCACTGATCTTCTAACCGGACGATCATCCACTTGTTGTTCTGCAACCTACAGTACGCGTGCCTTGGCATAGGACTTCCCAAGGCAGTGAAGAGCAGCATCCAAGGGCAGCTGTGGAACTCCTAGCCCATGAAACATATGTCATGCTGATCCCGGTGCTGTCCTCGTATCTTCTGTCATACAGCAAGGCTTTGCGTCAGGTCAGTGTCTTTTCCTTGGTGTTCCTGGTGGCACAAGGCTTCCGGCCTGATGACGCTACCTGGTGGCCTTCGGTGAGAACCTTGTGCTGTTCCAGCGCTCCAGAATGATCTGGCAAAGGCTTTCGGGACCTCGATCCAGAAGTAGCTGTGAGCGTGAATCCCGATTACCAACGCAAAGCTAGCCAGTCGCTAGTAAACTTTGTTACTTTTCCTGTAGTTAAAGCTCACATATGTCGGTCGCACTGGATGGGATTTGAACAAACTGCTAGCCTCAATTACCTGCATGACGATAGTCCGTCCTCAAAAGAGTGTTGCTTTCTCAAAAGCTCGGGCTCAATTCGACGTATAATGGACGCCAGGGATGACCGGCTCTCTCTTGCCGGGGGTGGGCCAGTCCTCTAGAGCCGATACATCGTCCACTTGCTGGGGGCTGGCCCCCCTGGTTGAAGGAATTTGTTCATAGTTTTCCCCAAATCGATGTTAGGCCCCATGTTGCCAATAATTTTAACCAAGTAGGGTGCTGAGGTGAGCTCCGAGAGAGAAATCAGTAAGGGAGACAAGGTTCTGCGCATGCCATTCGCCATTTTGTGTATGTTGGAAAGAATTTTGAGATTGCTGCTGCGAACGAGGTTTGGACGGGCATACCTCGTACAATCCTCCTATCTCCCTTCGATAAAAGGCCCAAATTCATGGGCAGCACAGTCGAAATCGTTGGGCAAGGCATCCATGCACGACACTCTGGCTTGCATGGCATCCAGATGAAAAGCATATGCAAAGCATGGACACTCACACTCGTCGTTCACCACCAGCCTATCGTACCTGTTCACTTATCAGTTCACTAGACCAGACCGGTTACGATCGACGAGGCGCAAGTTCGCCGACCCTGTTCAGTGGATCCCTGAGGCTCGCTAATGCTGCAGTTTAATGGAAGTTAGTTGTACCCCCATCGCTAGGTGCTCCAACAAAAGTAAATTCGTGTTGCCTGAGTCTTGTTTATGTCGAGTTTCTTCTTGGACCAACAACTTGAAACTCTTCACCCAGGTACCCAGGGTGTAGCGGAAACGGAACAAAGAGTACGGCCTCTGTGGTATGCCGCAGCTCATCAGGTTCTCCCCTCGGCTTATTCCTCCACAACAGTGTAGGCTTAAGACAGAGCTTGGTGGAGCCTTGCTCCAACTGGGAAGCACCTCCTGCAGCCCCCAAACGTGCACCAGTTGTGGGCAACTGTGGGAAGGGGCCGGCCGTTGGAACTCTCCGGAGTCTATTTTCGGGTGCGCTGTCTGCTTCGCTCGCTTTGGACCCCAGGAAACGTGGTCTATGCCAGCGCCCTGCCTCAACACTTGGTTGTTGTTGTTGTCGTTCAGCCACCAAGTTTGCGGACCACGGTCAAGGCAGATTGAAAGCTAGCTTGACAGAACAAAGCGTTTGTATCCGTATTTTCCGTACTGGCAGCAATCCACAAGGCAAACCACTGCAGCCAGACCGTTTGAGATGCAAGTCAGACGGTCCTAAGTCTCTTGTATGTAACGCTCAGCGCTGATGGCTTTCCGCCCGCTCACGGCTGTCCACCACAAAAGCAATTGGCCACCCTCCCGGCTCCTTTGGCGGCAACGCCTGATTGACGGAGGATGATGTATGAGACTTCCGGTTGCGACCCAGAGGTAAGAGCCGGTCCTCGGCGACCACTCGCCACAGTAAGGGCCTAAGCGGTTGATCGACATTGTGGTGGCACAGTAGGCCTCGTAAGCAGAGCGAGGACCACAGGCAGCCAAAACATCGGTGCACTTTACATAAGAAAGTTTCTTGTGAGATGTCTCGAGAGGCTTTGTTTCTGTCAGATGCTGGGAGGGCAGAGATTAGTGGCCACATCCGAATCTGGCAGTTTCGGCATGAACTAAGCACTGCCTGAATCGTAGCGCTTCAATTCGGTAACACAGGCGGAGTATTTGCCATTGAAACATATCAAACGGACCAACATTGGTGGGCAGATCTGAAGGAACCCCTGGTCATCCAATGGACTCGACCAATTGAGTTTGATCATCAGAGCAGGCACAGCTGTTTTGAGGACAGTTGACGTGATACTAGCCCCCCCGTGAGATCAGTAGTTATCTCCCCTGTTACCCGTCGAGGAGCTTCCGGATAGAGGCTGAGTGATTGAACCACTTTTCTTTTCTTCTTGGACACAGGGATGGCATTGCAACTCTATCACGGAGTCGGTGCCAATTTGGCTGCCAAAGCTTCGCGCTGGACAAGCCTGAGAGGATGTTGCCGGCACATTGGACAGAGGCACGAGGGTATCCAAGCGCTGCCCATACATAGGCCGATGGCAATTTCCATTTGGCGATACCTCTCCCAGCTGGTGTCCCTTACCCCAGAGAATGGTGGAGAAGGAGGTGCATGTCTGGTCTGCAATACGTGGCTCCGTTCAGCTGCCCATGTGGCTCAAGCTGAACGACGACCATGGTCGTCCTGCAATGTCGCTCGTCGCATGCACATGGTACTTGCTTCGCCATCCCATGAAAAGGATGCTTGTCAAGTTGCATACAGGTTTTGCCGATCAAGGCCTAGCTCGCCAATCGCCGTGATATACGATTGCCCGAGGGGCCCCGAGTTGGTCGTTTGGCTCAACAACCACTTCACTTTTTCTGCATCCTTCGCGAATCCTTTACTCCATATCGCTCTGATAGTGAAGTCTGCCGCGGGCACCCCAAATAACTGATCGAATTTCACTTTTGCATGCACCCAGCCAAGATTGGGCACCCTCGAGCAGGCCCTGTCTCCATTCTCAGCACATGTTACCTCCCAAAGACATGTGCGAGGCTGGATATTTCAAGCCCAACACACAGGCTAAGAATGGAACCACCTCCCTCGCGAGTCCCAAGACGATGGACACCAGAGGAAGATGCGGTCCTGCGGACAGAGGCGACCTATCAATGTAAGTTGGGACATTCGCATCTGATTGGCCACGAGACTCTGAAAGCTGATAGAAGACCAGTAGTCGCTGCTGGCTCAGTTAGAGATTGGAACAGAATTGCAACCAAACTTCCGGGTCGAATGAACAAGGACTGCCGCAAGAGATGGAGCAAGATATCGGAGAATGTGAGGAAGGGTAACTGGTGTGTATCGCAAGATTCGACGCCAGCTCCCGTACTGTACTAACACTGTCGTTTAGGGCGGCAGCTGAAGATGCGAAACTCAGAGACGCTGTTGCTGCAATCGGAACAAGGTTCGCAAGACTCGATGTCCACCCACAAATCTCTCTCCGCTAAAAGGTGTCGACAGATGGACTCAAGTCGCAGAAATGGTTGGTACTCGACATGCTGATCGTAGGTCACCTTCCATCTTTAAAAGTCGACTCGAATGTTGAAACACGAACATTGACAACTAAAACCTCACAGAATGTGCCAAGCGCTGGACCCAATGCCTTGATCCCTCTATCGACCACAGTGACTGGAGAGAAGAGGAAGATAATAGGCTGCTAGCAGAGGTCGCTGCTTCTGGTCGAAACTGGAGGAAGATTGCAGAGTTGTTCCCTGGCCGTACCAAGTTGGCACTTAAGAATCGGTGTGACCAAGACTGCCCTTCAATTGGCTCTTCACTTGTGCTTGCGACTAATTCGCTTCTGCAGGTACACGGCTCTCAGACGAAAGCAGCACTCTCAACAGATAGCAAGCAATAGCCAGAGCCCTCAGCCGCACCCAAGTTTTTCCACCCAGGTTCATCGATCAGGGAGAGACGAATTGATGCAACTATCGGACGAGCTTCCTTCGAGTGAGGAGGAGATCTGTTCTTCGATGGGATCGACGAGGCCGCCATCACGTTCCTCGAACCACAGCAAGAAATCTCAAAGCCAGGCTGACAATTTCAATATGGCCATGGATCCATTGTCGGGGTTGACGACTCCGGCTAGTCATACCGACTCAAGCGAGTTATTTCAGTATATGCCGCACACTCCCAATCAGAACTTCGGCTTTCAACATCGCGAAAGCATCGACCATTCGCTCCTGGACTCAAGCAACTTTTCACCGTTGAATTTGTCGATGAGCGAGCCCATGTTGACACCTCGACCTGAATACATGCCAACGTCCATGCTTGATGCCACGTACCCGGTGCATGCTTCAAGTCTCCCAAATGAGTGGCTTTCCGGGGGCCAAGCTTCGAACCAACACATCCAAGGCTATCCATTCCCCGAATCTTTTGATATTTCGTCCATGAGTGGGGTCGATCGACATTATGTGCCTCAACAAACATCTTTGAGGAAGACCACCATTGTGCTCGAGGATATCGAGGAGACCACATTGAGCAAGGTCATGAATATCCTTATCCAAGATAAAGCAAAAGTGAGGATGGAGACAACGCACTCGGACCGATCCTCATAACGTAGGTAAAGAGGACCCGTGGTGTGACGAGGGTTCATTGTAACATGATCAAGTTGCTTCAAGCCCAGTTTTGGGTGAAATCAAGTTGAGCGTCGGCGTTTGGGAACATTGCGGATTACGAAATGGCAGTCGGATATAAATGCATCCCTCGGTTCTTGGTGGATTGAAACTCGGACTGACGGTCACCAAGACCGTATCGGATTGATGGGGAGTCGGAAGACATGCAGCTTGCTAGTCGACATGGCAATCCAATGATCGGCCGTGATACCAGGATATTGATGCTGTGACACTTCTGACTAAGGTCAAACAAGGACGTGGTGATCCCGACACAGGCCTCAATAGGTTTGCTCCAGAGCAACCCGTGTGCCACAGAACAACGGAACAGGTGGCGAGTTGTTTTCATAACTGACCATGGATTTGCTGGCAATGGTCCGAAACCCGGTTTCCAGACAGGCTTGTACTTCAGTTGCATTGAGTGGAAGCAGTGGAAGTTTTGTCCTAGTCAAATGGGGTCAATTCGACTCGCCGTTGAAGGCACACACAAGTTGACGGTGATCGCAGCACGTCGGCCAGGATATTCGGACAGGGAGCGCAAGAAGCCAATCTGAGTCTGTTTTGGGTCTATTCCCGCGGAAGGTCGATAGATACCAATGGTCGGAACACGACAGGCGGCACTTGTCTAGAGTCCGCTATTATGAAGGAAGGGCATATTCTTCTTCTTTCAGTAATCTCCCAGCGAGGCAAGGAAGAAGCCTGAGCACTCCTTGTCGAAGATGAAAATGCTCTCTTCCTGTCAAATGCTGAATGTTGAGCTTGTCTGTGCTGTAGACCTCATCGCAGCGAGGCTCCACTCCACAAAACGAAGGGCGTCTCAGAATTAATATCTCCACTTTCGCGAGATGGTGGCAGAACAGACGACGAAATCGGACAAAATGTCCTCGGTAGGTACCCATTGACCATACGGGACTTTTTTGTGAGTCTTGTCGCATCGCATCGACCAGTTTTCGAGCAGTGTTTTATCGATGTGAGCGGCGCTTGCTCGAGTCAAGATTCAACTGTGTTCAAGGACGATGGTCAAGTGCAAGTCTCCAAGGAAAGCGACACTGGGTTCCTTCCGCAGGTGCTCGAGGACTGTTTCTGGTAGATAATCCGGATCTGACGAGAGGCTTGACATGGGTTTGTGGGGAAGACGCCAGTCAGCTATCAAGCTAGCTACATCCATACATAATAGCTCGGCTCGCCAGCCAGATGAGGTGGTGGAGTGATAAACGGTCGAAGGAAGAGAGAGGGCTCAGATCCCGTGTGGTGTGGATATGGAAGTCATCGCGATTCACGAGCAGTTGTGCATTTCTTGCCAGCGGATTGTCAGCAATGCCCATAGGAAGGGAGGGCGATCCAGTACATCAGTGGTGGTGGTGGTGGGTGATGGATGGTGGTGAATGAGCCCCCTGGTGGTGGATGATGGGGCGTGGCTGCGCATCAACTGGTGGAGGGCGCGATCACGTGCGTATCTCAACCTGTCGACCCCCTCCGTCGACCAGCCTCGCTCTGTAGATGCTTACAAAGACGACCTTGGAAAACAAAAACAGTGTCACACGGGATAGAGACACTAATCAAGGGAGGAGTGTATGCAATATATAATTACAGATTGCGGACCATTTGGGTTTACGCCAGTCCAAGGCGCCCAGGACTCTACTTGCGTGGAAAGAGGGGGGACACAGGAGAACAAGCCGTGGGAAATATGTGATTGATAGGGACAAGTCAGATACCCTTGCCGGTCTAGCTTAGCTACAGGACAATCGCTCTGAGAAGCAACGCAGTGGCTGGACACCGCAGCCAGAGCATTTTGCCGACCAGCCACTGACCACCACACCTAGTGCCGAGAGCTCCATGGCTGCTGATCGTGGTTGTCACCATCTGCTCGTCGGTGGAATACATATTCGACCTCGCAGTCCCACTTTCTTCCTCGTGGATCCAGCTCCCATGCTGCGCACCAGTTCAGGCTCCAGAACACTGACGAGGCGAACCTCAACCTCGATTGCGATGACATATAGAGCAAGTATTGTGGCGCTGAAAGTGATCAACTCGGGGCTGTGCAATTCCAAAGCAGGGGAAATGGGGCGCTTTGCACCAACAGACGCCTTGTCCAAGGGTTCAGCATCTTGTTGGTCGAGAACCACAACCTGCTGGGTTAGATGATGGGAAAGAATCCAGACTCTGGTTGTCTGCAGGGCTCGCCGATCTCTGGTCCGTGATATGTCTCTGACTGGAGAGCCTGCATTTTGTGCCGCCTCTGCTAGGATGGTGGCCAGTCTACGCATAGATTGGAGGGGCTGAGAAATCCCAATCGGCACCACAAACTTCGGATCTCACTCAGGCCGAGAGTCGGGCCTCCGCAACTTCCGCGTCCCCCTTTCGTTCCCGTCAATTGAAAATCATGCCTCCACTGACGTGGAAGAGCTGGCCCGTGACGAATTCGGCCTCTGGGCTCGCGATGAAGCTGATCATGTGGGCGACATCTTTCGGCTGACCGTACCGCTTCACGCACTGCTTTTCCATGGCCTTGTCAAATATGGGTTTCGCGTGAGGAGAGCTCCAGGTTGTCTCTGTCATGACGAGACCTGGAGACACGACATTGGCCGTCACCCCCGGACCGGCCTCGGCAGCGGTAGCCCGTGTAAAAGCAACAAGAGCACTCTTAGATGCCGCGTAGGCCGCCAGGCCAGGTTCCGGGTGCGAAACGGTACCAGAGGCTATGTTGACGATCCGCCCGTAGCCTGCTTTCTGCATGTGTGGAAGTACCGCGCGTGTCAAATAGAAGCAGCTGTCCATGTTGACCATCATGACCTTTTTGTACTCTTGAGTTGATTGCTCCAGGAGGGGGCAAAACGGGTAGATGCCAGCAATGTGCACGAGGACATCGATTCCGCCCAGTGAGGAGACCACTTCGCTGATCATGGAGCTGACTTGTTCTTCCGACGCCAGATTGGCGACCCGATAGGTCACATTCTTGCCTTCAGAGATGAAGTTTGTCTCGACCTTTTTGAGCTGTTGCTCATCCAAGTCTACAAGCACCACATTCGCTCCCTGGTTGGCAAAGAGGGCTGCAGTAGCGTGTCCTATCCCATGCGCTGACCCGGTCACAAGCACCACTTGATCGGCGTATTTGTCGCCGTAAGTTTTAGATGGTGGTATATTAGCTCCCTGTTGTTCCATGTTGGCTACCACTTCTTCAGGTTTTGAAGGTCAAGTTCCAGCTGGTACTTGGTGATTCGAGAGGATTTGCGAGTTCTATTGTGCCACACGTCCTTCTGCAGCGACCTCATATTGCAAAAGTATGCCGCCGTCGGTGACCGAGGATGGAGGATCATGCTGCTCGTTTGGGTCATCGCCACCTCTTTCGTCATCTCCTGGACATGCATCTGGACCGACAAGTCCCTGTTGCCGTTTATGAAGGCCGCTGAGTCTGGGATTTGGTGGATCAGAGACAGGTACGCGGTACAGAGACACCTTTGGCGGTTAGTCGGCGAAGTGATCTGAGAGGGAGTGTTTGCTTGGCGCAGGATTGTTTGTTACTAGCCATGAGTCTTATAGAGTCCAGACCCATTCGGGGCTTTTTGTTATTAAGCCATCGACCTCCGGAGGGCTGCCTTGGGTGCTTCTAGCAGGGCAATGGCCGCTACTCCAGGTGGAGGAAGCATTGCCGAGCCTTCTTCCTCAAATGTTATGTGCTGTTTACTCGGTACTCCCCTGCCGTAGGTCGGGCAGATTCAGCCTCGTCCTCTCAGAGGCCGACCGGACTGATATCCATTTGTACAGATGCATCCTATACATTCTCTTAATAATGGATACAGGAAGCTCCTAAAAGGGCCTTGACATACGCAGCCAAATTGGTTTGATCACCTCGCAGTCATTCATTTCATGCATTTTTACGGCTTACAAAACCTTCAACAAGCCCAAAACTACCGAGTACATTGCCCGCCCCCTACAACTGCTCATTCACAAACAAACCTGCCATGCCCTGTCCCGTGCCGATACACATGCTGGTGACGAGGATCTTCTTCTTGGTCCGTCTGGCCTCGCTCAATATCGTGCAAATCTGTCGTGCTCCCGTGGCGCCCAAGGGGTGACCCAGGGCAATGGCGCCACCGCGGGGATTCATCTTCTCGTGCTCGAGGCCGAGTGTGTTGAGACAGTAGACGGCCATCGAGGCAAATGCCTCGTTGATCTCGAAGATGTCAATGTCGTCCTTTGTCAGGTGGAATTTGTTGAGCAGTTTGGGGATGGCGGCCGTGGGTCCGATACCCATAATCCGTGGGGGAACGCCAGCGACGGTGGCGCCGCAGAATTTGGCCATGATGGGTTGACCGAGTTCGAGAGCTTTGGAGCGTTTCATGAGCAGGATGGCAGCAGCTATTTTTGGTTCCAGATCACGTCAGTCTCTAATTCGTTCTCCCATCCTATCGTAGGGATATAAAACGTGGGAAGTGCTTACCTCCATCGGTGACCTGACTGGCATTTCCACCGGAGGTCTTGTCGCCGAATTGCGGCATGGCGGGACGAATCTTCAACAGACTGTCGAGCGTGGTGCCGTATCTGGGACCCTCGTCCTTGGTGAGGGTGATCTCACGGACCTCTCCCGTCTTGGGATCCTTGACCTTTGTGGTGATGGGCACGATCTCATCCTCGAACCAGCCGGCTTTCTGGGCGACCTCAGCCCTCCGGAAACTCTCGCAGGCGTACTCGTCCTGCATTCTGCGCGAGATGTTGAAGTCATTGCCGACGTTTTCCGACGTCTGGATCATGGGCTGTGTGCAGTCGGCAGCTTCCTGGTTCGCCATGATCTCCGGGGAGAAGGGAGTGTCCTTGCCGGCGGCGTTGCTCATGGACTCACCGCCCATGGCAATGCCGATGTCGATCGACCCATTGGAGATCTGGTTGGCGATGTCCTGCACGGCCTTGAGACCCGAGGAGCAGAACCGGTTGACGCTCGAGGCGGC